TGGAAACCAGGAGACAGAGACGGGTCCTTCTCCTCCCTGAGTTTCTTCGACATTGCTACCCTGTTCATCTCCCCAAGGTGACTGTCCAGATGATCTGGCGAGTGTGCACTAATTACCCGGCAATCTTTGTTCCCACCTCCAGTAACAGTGTCCACGTGTAACGGAGGCAAGCACTTGACTCAAAGACAGTACTCTGTGGAAAGCACTCCTCCTCCGTACTGAGAGTTCTGGAGCAAAAACGAAGTGGGCTTTTCCCCATCCCTATTACTCCTGAGCCTCATCCCAAGTGTCGACACTGAGCAACTATGATTCCTGTGCTTGAAAAACATAACCTCCTGGCACACTGTGCATGGGGTCCAATGAGTGAGAAGAGAGTGCATGGCCCATGAAACCAAGGTCAAGGCTGCCAAGCCTTTTGTTCCCCTGACTGCGCTGATGCTGAGTCTGTTCTTTTGGTGCCCCGGCCTTTGGCACTGTGGTTAGTTTAACTCTGTGCCCCCACCTTGAAGTGACCTTTGATGAAAAAGTGGTCAGAGCCCAGACCTGACCCTGGAGATTTGGGGATTTTGTCTTAGAAAAGTATCAACCAAACCAGCAGGGGCAGGAGATCTGGATTCCTGTGGCTTGGGCTAACTTAGGTCCAAAAAACCAACGGCCTGTGATCACCATCGTCGTTCCCCAGCATAGACATAGTCTCTGGCCCCCTTCCTCCCGCTCACCCTCCTGCTTAGGATAGCTGCAGCTGGTTGCTCTTGCCTCAGCGTGAGCATGGCCTTCCACGTTGGAAAGCCTTTGCTGCTTGGGAGTTGTTGAAGCTGCTGCCTGACTGATCTGCAGCTTTTTTGTTGTAGCACAGACTACAGCAAAACAACTGGTGAGCATAGGTGTGATTCCTCTGCCCTGGGACCCTGTAAACCTCTCAGATTTGTCTCTTTGGCAAGTCTAGACCAAAAAACCCCTGGCTCCTCTCTCCCACAGCACTGCTTCTGTAGGTCAGGAATTATTTCTTGGCCACAACTGTATGTCTTGGACCTTTGTCTTGGCTTCCTGTAATAGTAATATGACCAGATTTGTGTGCAGGCATTCCAAAGAAGTCAGCGTGCTGCAGTCTTGGGTGGCAGAGTAATTAGGTCTGTGGGTTTCTGGGCTATGTGCTCCTCTCCCTCATGCATGCAACATGCTTGCTTTGCTGCCTGTTGATACTTTGTAGCTGGTTTGGGGGCACGCACTGTAAATATTGCCACATCAGGGGCTTCCAACAGACTGAGCCAGCTTTGGCATGACTTGTCCACCTACATTTTTGAAGTCATAGAAATCCAGGGTAAGAAGGCTGATGAAGTTGCTTTTCTTGTTTCCTCTCTTCACCTGGCTAGTTCTCAAACCAATGAAGCCACTCTAGTCAAAATGCTGTAACTGGTACCTCACCCAGGGATGGCTTGGTAGAGATATTAGTTCTAAAATCTCACCTCTTGGGTCATCTGTGACATACACTTTAATCCCAGTACTGAGGCGGCAGAGGCAAGGCTATCTCTGTGAATTTGAGGGCAGCCTGATGTACATAGTTCCAGCCCAGCCAGGGCTACATAGTGAGACCCTGTGTCAAAACAAAGGAGAAAGAAAGAAAAAAGAAAGAGAAGGAAGGAAAGAAGGAACGAACGAACGTACGAAGGAAAAGCCTCACCCCTTTACACTGACTCGCCTTCAAACCCTGCCAGCATTCTAACAAGACTGGGCTCAAAACCCATGAAATGATACAAGGTGGGGAGGGGCCTGAACTGCCGTCCTAACAAACTCATTTCTCTTGCCTTGCAGATCTGCTGACCATGAGAGAGTACCACTGTCTGCTGCAGTTACTGTGCCCAGATTTCCCCCTGGAGCTCACTCAGAAAGCAGCTAGGTATGTGTATCCCAAGTCCAAGTCTTCAAGTTGGCTGCACTCAGGGGCCAGAGCCTCTCGGAGAAACTAGAACAGCATATCTCAGAAAAAGTTCATAGAGAAACCGGCCTTCAGGGGAGAAGTCTGTTGTGGGTTCACCCCAGATACACATAACACTTTCTGTTTCCTAAGGGAAACCAAATGATCCTTTGTGGTTTTCACAGGGAGCCTCAGGGTCTGAGTGCAGCGAAGTAAAGACAGAGGGCCACACAAATGCACGTGCGCGCACACATGGAGGAGGACATCTGAAGAAAGAGGAGCAGGAGTGGGTGGTCATTTATAATCAAGAATGCTGTGGGCGGGTGCTACAACCCCAGCTGAGGGAAAAGCAGATCATCCTGTGTGCGCTAAATGAGGCTGGCCCAGAACTGTGGCTTAGCAGAGGACTAGGAGCCCCCAAACACTGTTTGGTTTTACTATCACGCACATGTTTTAAAACCAAATGAAGTAGTTGAACTATACCTAATTAACTTTCCATCGTCTACCACAAATGTGAGGCAGGTTGCATATTCAAGCAGAACAAAAGATCGGATTTTTTTAAAAGCTCCCAGTTTCCAAAATAAGTTGTATTGAAGTCATTTCTCTTCGCGTTCCACGTTCCACTTCCATTGACTTACTTCAACGATGTGAGTCCTGAGAAGATCCCTTTTGATACTCACCACCATGCCCTACCTTCCTGAAAAGGAAGCTGGCATGCCAAGAGCTTAACTGTGTTGTGCAGTTGATGGGTAACTTGGAGGCAGTACAGGTGGGAGAGGCCCCGCTGGCCACGGTCAAGAGACATTGTGCTGCAGCCTCCTGGCTGGCCTCCCCTAAGTGGGGCCTCCTCACCAGCCTGGAGGCCCCACTTAAGCCAAAGGTCCAGTGGCTGCGCTGTAGCAAGAACCAGCCTGTTCCTCCCAAAGGACCGCAGCTCTTTCTCTCCACGGACTTGGAAGCTGGGAAAGTCAGTGGTCCTAGCAGCAGACATCAGCCATTCCTGGGAAAGGACACTTTATATTTAAGGCTTATGAACTAATTTTGCTGACTGTGCAAATTTTGTAGAAAATTTTGTAGCTCCCCGCCCCTTTCTGTTTATTTACTGGGAACTCATCTTTTCCAGTGACTTCTAGTAAAAGCTCTAAAGCAAGTTTTATTGTTTTCATTAATCTGCAATCCAAAGGGAGCTTAGAATTTTTGCTTTGGTTTGGTTTTGTGGTTTTTGAGTCTCTTTCTATGTATCCTCCTGCCTCAGCCATTTCAGTTCTGGAATTACAGACATATACTGTCAGGCCTGGCTTGAATTCTTTCCTTAGTTGAATGGACAAAAGAAAGAAGAGGAGGAGGAGGAAGAGGAATCTGATGATGATGATGATGATGATGATGATGATGATGATGATGGTGGTGGTGATGATGGTGATGATAGATTATCTCTTTAATTTAAAATTAGCCAGTGAAGTTAATGACAGAACTCCATGCTAGTTTCCCTTTGGGTTCAACTCATTTTAAGACTCAAGGGGCTGGAGAGATGGCTCAGGGATTAAGAGAAGCAGCTGCTCTTCCAGAGGACCTGAGTTCACTTCTCAGCACCCACAGGGCAGTTCACAACTGTCTATAACTCCAGTTCCAGGGGATCCAACACCCTCACACAGACATACGAACAGACAAAACAGCAGTGTACATAAAAAAAGTTTTTAAAAAAGATTCATCCTTTTGAAGTCAGGACTTAAGAAGAGAAATATGGGGACGGGAGAGATGACTCGGAGGTTAAGAGCACTGGCTGCTCCTTCAGAGGTCCTAAGTTCAATTCCCAGCAACCACATTGTGGCTCACAACCATCTGTAATGTGATCTGGTGCCCTCTTCTGGCCTGCAGGTGTACGTGCAGACAGAACATTGTATACATGATAAATCTTAAAAAAAAAAAAAAAA